TGAAGTAAGTCAAGCTGTGTTTCTTGATAATACATTTTCTGCATATCAGATTGCATGTATTTGTGCAATCATTTATCATCACGGATATTGCGCATATGTAGCTAGGCCAAAGATAACTGCAGCTGGCCCACAGTTAATTCAGTAGATGATCTCCAGCTCATTCACTCTTTGCTAGAGTAGATGAACAGTAAAAACAGAAGGGAAGTGGATAGAACAAGTTACACAGGAGTTAATCTGTTGAGTAAGCGGGTGCCATTTTTTAATTGCCACTTTTTAGAGTGAATAAATACCCCTTCAAATCATGAGTTTTGCTGTTTACAATCTCAGTACAAAACTAAATGTATCCTGTATATTGTGGCATGTAAACAATGGGATGTTTTGGGGGGGTTGCACTTTTGTTTTTACCTTGTTCTGTTTTCTTTTGATTCCTGAACTTTGACTTTTTTTGGAAAAAAGATACGTTTACCTGTGCAACAGCATGCCACTACCAGTTAGACCAGGTGTATCAACTCACCTTGTGCCCTTGGCTGCATCCAAACTGTGGAGCTTCTTGCAGGCCAGATCCAACCTAGGGCATGCAGTGGTAGTAGCTGTGGCTCTAACCCAGGGCATACAAGAGTAGCAGCTCCACCTCTGGGATGGGGCATGTAGCACAGCTCTGGTGCCTTCCATGTGCCTCATGACAGACCTGAAGCTGCCACCATGGTATGGGGCACCTGGTGGCAGTGGGGCCAGTAACCAAGGAACTGGGGCCGTGGCAGTGGTAAAGGGCTAAACAACTGTAGGGCACCTGAGGGGTATCAGCACTCGTTCACCCTTCTGCCACCATTCTCCATATCTACCAGGGCCCATGGGCCTTGGATTCCACAGCAGGCCATGCCCCTGGACAACTTCCAGTGGCTCACCAGTAGCCTGGTAGGCCAGAAGAGCAGCTCTTCGGGCCATATGTTTGATGCCTCTGAGTTAGCCCAAAAGGTGAGAAAACACAAGTTCTGTTTCCAGTTTTTCCAATGATCTGCTATAGTCTTACTTTTCTGTAAAATGGAGATAGCAGTGCTACCTATCTTTGTAAGGGGCTGCAAGATAAGAAAAAGTATTAAAAATTTTTAGAAGGGTAGGGATTTATGAAGCTGGATTGGATGCCTATACTCAAAATAAGATAGTAAACCTGGAAGTGTCTAACAATTACAAACTATGGTAAAGTGTAAGTCATCTGAAAATTGTGAAAGGCCATTTAACAGCTGCTTCACCTTGGGAAAGCCTGGGAGAGGCCCTCTGATATGCGCTCAGGACCTGTACTTTGGCTAATTGCAAGACTTGAATATGCATGTAATGGGGTAAGTAGACAGGATTTGGTTCTCAGTGGAGATGCTAGAGTCAACAACCAGCCAGTCTTGGCATGCTTGACTCTTGGCTGTGATCTCAGGCTCGACAGGTAGAGACATGCCCATAGGGACTGGTGTGCACTTAGAAGGCTATAGTCAAGTGCCTGCACTGAGGTGTGCAGGTGCTTGAAGCTGGTCAAGACCATTCTGATGGAGCACTCCATCAATTCCTGCTCCCACCCCTTTCCGTCGTCTCCTGTTCCATCAAGCCATCCAAGTGTCTTTGCTGTTCCTCCCCCCACAATTTCAATAGCTCTTTCTATTTAGTGCCAGTCATTTGCATCCGCAATGATCACTTTTCCTATTTCTCCTTTGCAACAAAGTCCATGTGCTCAGATTCCTAATCGGGATGGATGGTCCTTCCACTCCTGAAGTGCCTGCGAAGAGAGTCTCTCTGATATGCCTTTAAAAATGAAAGACATGAATTCCCTCTGCATGGTAAGCAGGGATCCTGGTTTTCTTTGTTTAAAAATCCCACGTTCTCTGATTTATAAAAAACACAAAATCCATCTTCTTCTGCGATTAAAATGAAATGCCAGTAAATATATAGGTATCAGTTGAACACAATATTTTATTGATATATTTACAGTTTTAAAGCAATTTGGAAGCCTACCAGTGCCTCAATAATTAAATGCTAAAAACCTATGTATTTTGACATTCTATTTTGTGATTTTCATGGAAAATCAGAGCTCCCCTTCCCCCTTTGCTTACCAGGATGTGGGTCTTGCTACAGCTGTCCCCCACCACTCCCCATGTTTTGTGGCTCTGAGCAACCCTGTTATTCCCTGCCCATGTCATTGCCCCTCACTCCCAACCCACAGCCCCCTGGCCCTGCCAGTGCCCCTCACTCCTGACCCACAGTCCTTCATCCCCCCAGCCCTGCTAGTGCCCTTCATTCCCAACCCACTGTCCACCTGTCCCCATCCCTCCAGTGGGAAACAAGGTGGGTGTGTTGGGAAAGCGGGGTCTGGGCACACAACTCACCGGGTGCGGGGCATGTCTCCCCACTTTTCTGCGCCTACACTGGGTGCAGGGCTGCAACCTGACTGGACCAAGCCCATGCAGGAGCTGCCTCCATGGCCCAGCAGCTGAGACCCAATGCAGGAGGGAGCACCACACTGACATGGCCACCAAGCATAGGTTGGGAAAGCCAGGGCTAACATGGTGAAGCACCCCCCCAAACTCATTACACAGTGGTTGGCAACAGCAGCAACGCCATGGTACCACCATCCCACAGCGCCACTCAGCACCACCACCATGACCCGCCCACACAGCACCTCACTCCACCACCAGCACCCACCACCAGCACATGGTGGCTCTGCAATGGCCCTTGGCCCCCCAGCCCAAATATATTTTCTCCAGCTGTTACCACCACCAAGGTGGGGCGTGCCAGCAGTGCAGAGTTGCGCCTCCTGCTGCTGCCAGGTGGGCAGGGGGTGCCTCACCCTGGCAGCCATGGCAGCGTGGCACTTCCTCCTTCTTGCTCTTGGTCCTGCCCACTGGGATGCAGAGGCGGCTCCTGCCTGGAGTTGGTCCGGCTAGGCTGCAGCTATGTGCCCTGGTATAGGTGCAGAAATTGGGGAGGGGGGGCACATGCCTCCCTGCTATGTTGCCCATGCCTCCCTGTTCCCCCACTATGTTACCTGTGGCCTCCCCCCAGTACATTTACCTTGAGGGAGCTGCAGGAGCTACTCTACACCACACTGCCCAGCTGCCACGTGCATGTGTGCACACACATGCACGTGGTGCTCTCTTCCCTTTGCATCTTGCTACCACCCCAGCCCCAAGCAGCCCCTTGCAGGCTGCAAGTCTGCCAACCTATAAAGGGAAACCCACGGTTTTCCACATTTTTCTCCTTTAAAGGAGAAAATCTGCATTTTTCCACAGCAAACAAAAAGTCTGGATCCCTGATAAATATGAGATACGTGTAGGATGGTTATCATATTTGTTTTGCCAGTTTTCATCTGTGAGTTTGGCTTTCCAGGGATAGCAAGGCAGCAGTAGCAAAACAACTACTGGTCGCACTGTGGTAAATTCTTACATTTCCCCTAATGCCATGTCTCCCCAACACTGACTGTGAGCAGGCAACTGAATCCCCTTTTTAAAAGACTGAATATTTGTGTGTGTGTGTGTGTGTGTGTGTGTGTGTGTGTGTACAGGCAACCCCTGCTTAATGCTGTTTCTCTTAGTGCTATTTTGCTGTAATGCTCATTTTACATTGATACCTGAATTCTGCTTAGCGCTCAGTGAGCTTCATTATAACATTCACAATGGTCGCCATCTTGGTTCATCAAAAACTTGGTTTCGCTTAACGCTATTTTGCTTAACGCTCAGTTTTTTGGGAACCAATTAAGAGCGCTAAGCGGGGGTTGCCTGTATAACATACATGTATACACATTTCATGTGTATGCACACATACACACACTTATTTAAATAATCAGTAACTTAAAATGGGCTTCTGATTCCTAACACAGTTTCATAGTTTCATAGTTTCTAGGGTCGGAAGG